ATGGAAGTGAGAATGATGGATTCATTTTCTGTCAAAGAAATGCAGATTGGGAGAAGAGGGGGGGGGGGGGGGGGTGGGGAGGAAGGAATGGTCCTTTTCCCTTTCCCCTCTCCCTTTTAAAGAATGAAACCCTTCCAAGTTGGGGGAATTTAGAGAATAAACACAAGCTCACTTGTCCCTTCCCTCGTCTTCTTTACCATTGTTATCCAATCAATCTGTACGTATCCAATCTTGGCAGTGATACTTTAAACTGAAATGGTGAGTCCCATGTTATGCAGCGTGAGAGGTTACCATTTATTCAGTTTCTATTATTTGTGGTGTTTAACACAAGGTATGAGTCATGAAAGATTTTCATATCAACATGCATAATCTCCCAATAATTATCAGTCTTGCATGATAATTATTATCAGTAATTCCACAACTAATACAAAATTTCTTGTCTGATAGTGATTTATTGAATAAACATCTGATATTTTCTTTTGTTAACCTTCATTGTATCCTCAGAAACGAGGAGCTCAGCTAGTTGTGCTTGAAGGAAAGAATAGGAATGTGTGGGAAAATGTGTGGTCCACATCTTGCTTGGATTTACACTTGATGTCCTCTGGCGCTGCTCGGGCCATGGTACATGCTTGGTTGCTAAACATTCGCTCTGTTGTTTTAGAAGGACATGAGCTGCCAAAGCTGTTGAGGTAAGTAGAAGTGATTTTCTATATTTTTTTTTTTCCCAATCTTCTTTAAGCTTTCTCCATATTTATTATTTTTGTATCATACACAAGCCTCTAGCAAGTATTTCCATCTCATCACCCTTTTGTTTAATAATTAATACAAGTATTGTCCAAAAAATTAAAAAATAAAGATAGAAGACTCATAAGTATAACTCTTAATAATAAGAGATTAGGTAACTTTATTATGAGCAGTTTGCAGATGTCTTGTCGATGGAATTGATGGATTTTTGTAAAAATTAAACCAATGCAGTATTCGTGATAAAAATTGAATGTTTGAAATGCTTTGATTATTGGTGGCTTTGTGTAAATCAACAGAACTGTTACTATGTCAGAGAAAATTGAAACACAGTGACAGTATATAGTTTAAATGATAAAAAAAATTAATAGTGTTTAGGAATTGTATATCAAGTATATTATTATCAATTAACTATTGTGAACTTCAGCCTCAAACCTTCACTAAATAACTGATTATATATCCCTAGTTCAATATTCACCATCATACTAACGAGCTCCCTTTTGTATTTTCAATTGCTTACCAGTATTCTGACTGGTTGGGGAAAACACAGCAAAGTTGTTGGTGATGGAGCACTGAAGCGAGCCGTTGAAGGGCTGCTCAGTGGCATAGGTGCTCCTTTCCATTTGGCAGAGACCAACCTTGGGAGATTCATATCACAGGGAGCGGCTCTCACTACCTGGTTAAAGAAGTCTGCCACCCTTCAGGTGTTACTACTTCAGGATGTTAGAACTCAACCTGAAAACCGAAGATTGGATCAAAGGCCTAATTTGCAGCCCCTCCCTCTGTAGTAGCTTCTGAATCTGTATGCCGTGCATCTACTTCTGCCAATCTACGTTTTGTGCTCACCTATTTACTCCTTGATCCAGTGGTAACTCTGGTAAGAGCTTGGCTTTGTGACTGACAGTTCACAGGGAATTGGGGTGGACTTCCCTCAAGATTCCGGACTTTCACTGGTTTGCAGACTGCGGTAGACCTTTCCGCAGTTTCCAGGCTCGTCACATCTCCTTCCAAAAAAATATCTACTGTGTTTATACCCTGTAATTAATGTGATTTATCTAGGTATCGGCTAATGCTTTCACTCTCATTATCTTGCCCTTCCCGCTACATATATGGGCCAATTTTGTGCTACAATGTCGCCCATAACATGCAAACCTTTGGCTGCATAGACAGTTGCCTGGTGATATGGTTTTCGATCATTCCGAAAATTTTCAACTCCTAACTTCACCAGTAGCATGGTATGGTAGTCTTTGGAACTTCAAACACTGGTCAGTAATTAGATTTCATCTGGGGCTCTTTTATGTACGCGTGATTCATAAAAGGTAATATGTAATTGAATGAAACAGGAAAAATAAATGTAACAGTACACTGTTTCATTTATATGTACAGCAATGCTGGAGTATTACTGAGTAATGTAGATATTTTACCTTGTTCTTCATTTCTTCATCTCAATTTCAAGCAGTTTTGGTAAATCTTTAAAGCAGGCACAAATCTAAGCCACTTTTACGCTATATCTCAAGGTTACTAAGCACAACTTCTATGACGATTAATCCTAGAATTAACTCTATACTCTCTACTATCTGTACTAACTTGCTGAGTTTTCTAGAGCATATTATTCCATGCAAATAATAAGAAATTAGGCCTTATATTTTCTTGTAAAAAAAAAATAATATTGTATATCACAATGTTTTGTATTGGTGAAACACAAAGCCATAAATGTAACATAAACATTGTATTTAACACCATCAATACACTTAGGGTAATGCTATATGCAGCCCTTAGGGCTGCATATAAGCATTTAATATCTTTCCTTTTTAAGTACTAAATTGGGAATTTATCAACAATTCACGAGTAAATCGGTGTAATAATTGTATATTTATTGTCAATTCTTTTCACTTTTAGCTTCTTATATGCAGCCCTTAGGGCTGCATATATCTTTTTCCATACACTTAATAGGGTGACATCAACATCCAAATAATCAAGTAACTACAAATAGAAATCATATAACAATGATAATATCACTTTGATTAGGAAGCTATTTAAGTTTAACAATGTCAATTTGCCTAATTGCACATGCTCAATCACTATTAAGTTTCATTTCTGACCAAGTTGAACAATTAACTAACCAATTAAAGAAGGTGAGCTTTAGGTCAATCAAATCAATTAATTAAAGGATATTGAGTAAATTTTCTACTTGTACATGCAAGTATGTAGTAAATAATTAATTTACTGCCCCCTTAATTAGCAAAGACTTTACCTCGATAATTAATGGCATTGTTAATTTACACAAATACAAGAAATAATGGAGTAATATTAGGGACCAAGCTACTAATTAAGAGTATGATTAATATCTAATAGGGACAATTTAAATTAATTAGAAATCGACAAAATTGACAAAATTTGAATTACTTCTAAAAATAATTTACGTGGCATGCCAATATGAAGTTTGTTCGTATATCGTACCAAATATTACGTAGTTATATTTATGAAATATATGGGAAAAGGTTAGGTTGCAATTAAAATAATCTAAGTTTGAAAATTTGAGAGTGGAGGCAGTTGAAAGTTTAGATTTCTCTACCGCAAAATCTGTCACTCTTAATTATGAAGTTAATCTTTATTCTTTACGCGTCTTCCCTTTTCCTTTTAATTATTTAGTTGTCTTTAATGTCGGTTAATGTAAAATATATTGTAGCAAGTTGTACCTTTTTATTTTCGGATGATTTTATAGGGGTCTTTTAATTTGAAAAATGACTATTACATTATTTTAATGATAACATAAAAATATTTATCTTAAATTAAAATAAGCCAATTTCTTTGTAAGATAAAATCAAATTATACTACGTATTATAACGCGTTAGCTATAAATCTATACTGTAAACATGTTAGTTATCCCACATTAAGTAAAGAAAAAGGAAGAAAATTAATTACCTAATCTCAAACAAAGTAAGATTAAGCACAATCGACTAGCAAAAAATTGGAATAAGATTAAATTAAAATCAAATAAAATTAGATAGAATAAGACCAGAAAAAAAAAAAAAAAACAAATAAAGTTTGATGATAAAAATTAACACGTGGTATCCAAGTTTATTTGCAACTAAAATAAGAACTCTGTAAGTTGTAACATTAATGTCTATGTATTAATTTACGATTAGTTTTATGACAATTGATTTTAGGATGTAAATATTTTTGACAAGCTATATTTAGACACATGGTCCAAGTACTTCTCTTTCTTGGTAGTAGCTCATCTTGGATTTTCTCAAATCTAATAGTTACTCTAGTCTTTCATCGAATGTGGGCAACTAATAAAAGAAACTATGGGACACAATTCTTATTAATGAACATTATTGTCTATAATTCTGTATTATCTTTAAAGCATCATTATTATCTTCATGACTTAAACATTTAAAGGATTTTGTTGGTGGTTCAAAGTTATCAAACAAGGTATTCCATCATTTTTTTTTTTTTTTTTTGAGAGCAACAAGTTATTCCATCATGATTCAATTATTTCTTGGTAAAAAAATTCGTTACGTTGATACCGATACATAAATAGCCATATGAGTAACTTCAATTATTTCTTTTTTGAAAAAAAAAAAAATCCTAGTACCACAAATATTAATTGAACTTCTAATCTGTTGACAACAAAGTATCAAAAACAAGAATTACCACTATATTTTCCTCATCACAATCGCTATATATCAACTATCAAGACCGACAGAAGATGACAAGTGATATCAAAATCAAGATCAAAATTTTCCAATTTTTTTCAAAGATATAATAAAAGAATCACATGGAATTGGAAAACAACTCATTTATTCATGTCCATTTGTTTTCGTAAAAACGAATTTGATCATAAAATCTATTAAGATGTTAACATTTTTTTTTAAAAAAATCATGCATTATGAATGATCGTACGTAACATAGTAGTAGTTGATGGCAGATTGCTTCACTCTAATACTCATATGCATGTATGTATTAGTGGGTAGAAAGTTGGTGGTTGGTTAAATTTCTTAATCAAAATTCAATTAAAATAAGCACCGTCATTTAATGTTTTGATAACCCAAGGTCAAGCAACTTTGAAAAAACAACATTGCATGTTTGCCGCACACAATACCACGTATGCAATTAGCATAGTGTACTAACACTATCTTCTGCTATAGTCTTTACTATTCGTACTATACTACAACTAAGTGGGGAAATTGTGTCGTTTTTCTTAGCCTTATTTTCCTATAAATAGGCCATGCAACTTCACAGCTTACATTGCAATAATCATTTATTAGCAAAAACAAATTATTGAGTAAGAGTGTTAAAACTATGGGGAAGTTTTTGAGAGTTTTAGGATTGTCGGTTTTAGTGTTATCACTTGTAGTGGTGTTTGTAGGGTTAGCGGAGGGAAGACAATTGGAGGAGACAAATAATGTGGGTAAGGAGGATTTTGTAGGAGAGGAAAATGGTTTGGGTTATGGGGGTGGTAAAGGAGGCGGCATTGGTGGTGGATATGGAGGTGGTAAAGGTGGCGGCATTGGTGGTGGATATGGAGGTGGCGTTGGAGGAGGTCATGGAGCTGGCGGTGGCTTTGGAGGCGCCCATGGAGGTGGTTATGGAGGAGGCCATGGAGGTGGTGTTGCCGGTGGTTATGGAGGAGGTGTAGGAGGCGGTGTTGGTGGTGGCTTTGGAGGTGGAGTGGGTGGTGGTTATGGAGGGGGCAAAGGTGGAGGGGTTGGAGTTGGTGGTGGAGTTGGTGGTGGTTATGGAGGAGGTGTTGGAGGCGACCATGAAGGTGGTACGGGAGGTGGCGCAGGAGGTGGGTATGGATCATGAGGAGGCAAGGGTGGAGGCATCGGAGGTGGTCATGGAGGTGGAGTTGGTGGTGGTTATGGAGGAGGCAAAGGAGGAGGTGTTGGAGGTGGAGTAGGAGGCGGCCATGAAGGTGGTGTAGGAGGTGGCGCCGGTGGTGGATACGGTTCAGGAGGAGGTAAAGGTGGAGGCATTGGAGGTGGTGTCGGAGGTGGTCATGGAGGTGGAGTTGGTGGTGGCTATGGAGGAGGCAAAGGAGGAGGTGTTGGAGGTGGAGTAGGAGGTGGCCACGAAGGCGGTGTTGGTGGTGGATATGGATCAGGAGGAGGTAAAGGTGGAGGCATTGGAGGTGGTCATGGAGGTGGAGTTGGTGGTGGTTATGGAGGAGGAGTTGGAGGTGGAGTAGGAGGCGGTCATGAAGGTGGTGTTGGTGGCGGATACGGAGGAGGAGGAGGAAAGGGTGGAGGTGTTGGAGGTGGCTACGGAGGAAGCCAAGGAGGAGGAGTTGGTGGAGGTGTAGGAGGTGGTCATGGAGGAGGTGTCGGTGGTGGTTATGGAGGCGGCCATGGCGGCGGTGTTGGCGGAGGCCATGGAGGTGGTATCGGTGGTGGCTACGGAGGCGGTATTGGAGGAGGTTCTGGTGGAGGTGCCGGTGGTGGCATTGGAGGGGGTCACGGGGGTGGCTATGGAGGTGGAGCTGGAGGAGGCTATGGAGGCGGTGCTGGTGGAGGCCATGGTGGAGGATATGGAGGTGGTGGTTACTAAGGTACCACTTCATGAGGCGTTGTTCTTATAAGAAATGTTGCAACATGAAATCATCCATTTATTATTGGATCAATCATAGTAATTAGTTAGGTCGGTGGTATTGTAAAAGTAAGCTATCATGCATGCACATATGCATGCAGATGCATTATTAGTTCGTAAATTTATCTACGTAAGGCTAGCTAAAACTTAGGTATGAAAATAAAATATGTGGTAACTTATTCTACCATAAAGGTGCGTTTGCTTTTGAGAAAATGAGATTTACATTCAGCCTTTATCACTTCATAATGTACCAACCATGCATTATGCTCATGTTATCCTAAGCTCATGCTATTACACATACTTTCTCATTATTGTCTTATAAGCTTTCGATTTTTCATAAATATGCAAGGAGGTACATTATTTTAATTACAAAATTCATATATCCAAACCATAATAATAAAATTAAGACTACTCTAAACACTAGATATTGAAACTAGTGAGTTGCTAATTAAATTATTATTGTTATTGGCACGAGAGATTGCAATAATGACGTACTAATTAAACTGAAGTGAAACAGTTTAATTATCTTGCATTCGCTATAATTTAGGTACTCTATTTGATAATGGCTAGAGAGTTTGCAATGAAGCCAATGATGATTAATTAAATAAGCTAAGTATGTACTTAAAATGTTAGCAATTGATGAGGTACTACAATAATCCATCGGTTCCCCATTAAATTAAAGTTGCAAGCTAAGTTTACTGCGTGCTAGCAACTCAGAAAATGCTACCTAATTTTGATCAGGAGTTGGAAGATGATTATTGTCTCTCTCATTCTCTGTAAAATGACAATATAAGTCAAGAGAAACATGAAAAACTTTAATTTCTTGTTTTCATGCATGTTAACTAATAGAAATTTCACTGTAGTTAAATAAATACTACAGTGAGTAAAATAATTAATATGAGTACTGTATAAATTTTCAGTTATTGTGATGAAAGTATCATTAATGCCTTTTATTTTACAGATTACAGTTTATATCATTTTGGGTTTAGACCATATATGTCCTAATTGTGTCTCATCTTGCATAGATGCATTCCATAATAACATTGTTATGTTTTATTTAACACATCACCTACGGGCCAGGCTATGGCAATTATCATGTTACTCCAATCCATATACTTCCTCCGTACATATTTAGTTATAATGTTTGTTTTTATTTTCACACTTACTGCTATTTAGTACAATAACACTAAATGCAAACATATATATATATATATATATATATATATATATATATATTAATCAAGATAAAATTGATAAAATGTTGATGTTTTGAAAGTATATATTGAGACGGATCAAATAAATTTTCACATGACTATATTTTTACTTAATCATCAAAGATAATCATAGCATGGTTAGTGAATAGTGTAAAACTTATGAAGTATAACGATGCAACAAAAGAAAATCGAGAAAATATCGATAAAAGGTAAAAGGGGATCACGAGTGAGTATAATTGCTGACGTGACAATACTGTTTTGAAATATTATTGAGCTATTGACACTAAAGATTTGAAAGTATACCACTTATCTGCACAATTGGGCCTTTGTGATGATTTTGATCAATTCTTATTTTAGGTTGGCCCAAATTTTTGGTGTCAAACCTGGCTAGCACAAGGACTACCTTCTAGGAGTTCTAGCCATCTCAACAAGTTATAAATAAAATGTTTTAGAAAATAGAAACTATAACAGAATCGAAAACTAAAAGAAATAAAAGATAATTCAAGTTTATAAGTCTGATTTACAAATTTCGTAAATTAGAGGTATCAGGATCAGTTCATCCAAAAAACTTATTTTTTTAATTATTATTCCAGCATCCTAACTTTACATGTCTAATTGAGACCTTTGGGAGAATACTTCATAGATTTGATCCTAGACGTTGTGGTTGGGTTAAAGAGATTGGTTTTAGTGGGTTGTTGAGTATCTCTGGTGACTTGCTACTTCCTATGTAGATTGGCTATTGGTTGATGTCGCGCATAGATCCTATCTCTGGGAAATTAATTGGTTGTGATGGGAAAGAGTTCTTTTTTTCAAAGAATTAATGGGTCCTTGGTATACCCCATGGTGGTCTCCCTGTTCCTAGCTACAAAACAATGAATTTTAACGAAGGGTATAAAATGACCACCACAATTGATTCACAAGATTTTATCATAAGCATAAGTATATAAGCATGCAAATAAAAAGTACTACCTCCGATCCAAATTACTCGCAACTTTGGGGTATTATTTGTGAGATATAAAATATTCCAAAGTTGCGAGTAATTTGGACCGGAGGTAGTATAAAACCCTTATTTCCTTTTCAACCTTAAGCATTTCCATAGTTTATATCATATTGTATTTTTTTTAACTATGATTAGTGATATACAAATTATTAATTGCAAAGATAGTGTAATTAAACTCAGATCTTAATTCTTAGTCAAAAGTATTACTCATCACCTAAAATAGATGTTAAAACATTTTCCATAATCAAACATAAGTTGGAGTAACTTTTTCATCATGAAAAAGAGAAAAGAAACTATATATTATTAAAATAATAAGAGAAACAAATATATTCTAGCATTTTCATTGGCCAACTAAAATGTTCCAGATAAATCTATATGATCTACTTCCTTCCAACCTCCAATATTAAAATTAAACTTCGCTTAATACTATATTAATTAATTAATTAATTATATCCTAAAGATGAAAATGGTTGGAATGCAAAAGCAAAACTAAAATGTTCCAGATAAATCTATATGATCTACTTCCTTCCAACCTCCAATATTAAAATTAAACTTCGCTTAATACTATATTAATTAATTAATTAATTATATCCTAAAGATGAAAATGGTTGGAATGCAAAAGCTACGAGAGACGGATTTATATGGTGGCACATCCATATAAATCATGTATGCTATACTTTTAACTCAACTTGCATCTCTAGAATGTTTGTGGCCTGCCATTACTAATTAATTAAAGAATAAATCAATAAATATGAAAATTCTTATACGTATTATTATACAACGTACATATACAAATGTCTTAAAAGGAGACAAGGAGTATAAGTTATTGTACATAAACTAGCCAATTTGTACTAATTGTGGACTAATTTTATACTCCGTATAGTAACAACTTATGAAGGACGTTGTAAATTGTAATATACGTTTCCTTAATAATATGAGCACGATGTATAGACAAAAGTAATTACGAGTGACATTTAATTTTAGAATTATATGATGAATTTAGATACTTTGAGTTATATGAGCACTTAATATTTCTACTTAGAAGTTAACCACTACATACTTAAGTACTTAACTTGCATGCGGCTTCTATCAAGATGAGGGGTAAGGGAAAACCTATAAATTCAGAGGGGCTAACTGAAAATGTTTAGTTTGGTAGGTAAATTATTGACCAAATTTGACAAAATATATATTTGTTACGATTTTTGGTGAAAGAACATTTCTTTTTGTCTCATTTCAACTACTTTTATTTCATAAGAAGAATAAACCCCCTTTAATTTTACTTTCTTGTTTTTGTTTTATGTTGTTTTCTTGCCGTCCTAATTAAGATTAGATTAGATACTTAGATATATTGAAACATACAGTACGTGTCTTGTAATTCTAGTGAGAAGAACGTTCTAGTATATTTGATTGAATATAATGTTATTTAAATTAATAATTCCAAACATTGTAGTACAAGCTAAGTAGTAAGTATTTTCTTTTTTTTTATTTTATTTTATTTTTTTTTTTTTTTTTGGGACAAAGTATCAAGTATTTTCATTTACTATACAACATATTAAATATTTACATTTGCTTAGGTTTATAACTTATAAGTATAAATAACTTATATATAGTTTAGAAAATAATGGCAGTATCAAGAGGATGCTGGGAATTAAATATATACCAGTATTAGAATCGAGCTTTGTCTATATATAAATACATATCTTTACAATTAGAGATGGGACTATAAAACTTCCTTCACTTCTTTGAAAACCTTACAAAACGATTTTGGTTTAGGAGACAAGTTACTTGTAAACCTCAATTCGTAAGAAATTTATCTTTGAATGATCGAAAATACACCTCTTAGTTACCTTTGCATGATCAACTAATTAGATGAACATAAATTATTAGTCAATGTAGTTAGATACTAATTTGATCATAAATTGTCAACATACGTAGTTAGCTACTAATTTTATCATAAATTGAGCAATGTAGCTTTCAATTTTCTTTATTTAGACTGAAAAGAAAAGATTGAAAACTCAAAACTCACAACAATAATGGATAAACATAAATCATACAAGTATTACTATTGCCATTTATATTATGAAAACTTGTCTACATCGTACATTAAAAAGAAAACGTGTACAAAATCACTAACTAGCCAATATTAGCATTATCGAAAACTATCTAACTCTTGGCGGCATGAATAGATTTTTGTCTTCTCATGCAAGGAAGTTAATTAATCTTTACGTATTTGAATCTTGGGAAGGTAATTTTAATTACTTGTTAATCTCTTTTAATATTTTAATATAATATAATTATTTTGTAATCTTTTCATTCATGCATGTCAATTGACAAGTGTTTTTCTTTCACATCAAAAGATTTAGTCTTCCTCATATTCTCATTTTTTTGCCTTATATCCCCTATGCTGTAAACATCTATTTATGTATGGACACGATGATTGACATAGCAACATAGGCATACTTTTTCCGTTTCTTAAAATTGCAACAATTTAATGTTTATGTTAAATTGACATAGGTATACTTAGACCATTTTCATTAACATGTATAACGTATGTTATCTATTAATAAAATTAATAAGAGTTGTTAGTATGAAAATATAATTTGAGGATAATTAAATTACATACTTATATTTTCCTCAATAAAATAACATACGTAATACTGATATTACATATATATTTTACACTTAAAAAAAAAAGTACTCTATGCATAATAGGGTGTTATATTATTTATATCAGTATATACTTCTTTTTTACATAATACATACGTCAAACTAGTGCAATTCAAAGAAATAAAACGTATAATCTTATATACTCTGTATAGATGTCAGTCCAAATACTAAAATACATATAACATCATAGTAGTACTACGAGTAAATAAAAATATGAATTGTGATGATGCCACAGTACCATGCCCCTTCATTTGAATCATGTCACATCTATAGAATTTTCCTACAAAAAAGAACCAATATAAAACTGAAGTATTGAACCAATTTCTCTGAATAAATAAATATGATCTAGAAAATACTTATTCTTTGAATCCAATTAATTCGAGTTAAATATCCCATTATTGTCCTGAAATGGGTCCTACACAATATCATCTATTTATACATTGCATTAGCTTCCCACTTAATCAGCACAGAATTTCAATTTCATTATTTCTGTCTCCTCCAATTTTCCCTCTTTGTTACTTCACAAATTCTTTGCTTACCAGATCAAATTTACAGTAATTGTATATAAATACAATTATATTCAAAAATTAACCCATTTTAAAGCTTATTATTTCTTCCCACAATTTTATTTATTTTCTCTGTTTTCCCCTGTTTTCCTCTGTTTTTCTATCATTTATGGCTCCCCCAAATAACCCAATAGTACCAAAACTTAGCCTTACTAGAGCTGATTCTTTAGACCAATATTTCAGCTTATCTGATGATGGAAAATTCAGTGTAAAAGGTGTAACCTTGCTGTCTGAAATCCCTAGCAATGTCTCCTTCACTGAGTTCAACATAATCTGTAACTACTCTGAATCAGATGCTCCTTTTCCTCTCCTTCAACGTGTACAATCCACCTCTCATCGAGGCGGGTTCTTCGGGTTTGAAGTCGAAGAACCCGCTGATAGGGTGATAAACTCCCTAGGAAAATTTCATGACAGAAATTTCCTAAGCATATTTAGGTTCAAGACATGGTGGTCTACTCAATGGGTAGGAAAATGTGGGTCTGATTTACAAATGGAGACTTAATGGGTGTTGCTCGAAATACCCGAGGTTAAGACATTTGCTCTCATTGTGCCCTTGATTGAGGGTGGTTTTAGGGCTGCCCTTAACCCTGGGGATGATGATCATGTAATGCTTTGTGTCGAAAGCGGTTCGAGTAAGGTTAGGGAATCAACCTTTAAGGCCATACCTTATGTTCATGTTTGGGACAACCCTTATAATATAATGAAAGAGGCTTTTAGTGCTATAAGAGTACACCTTAACACATTTAGGGTCTTAGAAGAGAAGGGTACCCCTAGTATTTTAGACAAGTTTGGTTGGTGTACTTGGGATGCTTTTTACTTGTCTGTTGAGCCTAAGGGTGTGTTTCATGGAGTGGATGAGTTTTCTAAAGCCGGTCTTTCGGTCCGGGTTTTGATCATTGATGATGGGTGGCAAAGTGTTAATTGTGATGAGGATGATGATTTACATGAAGATAGGAAGAGTCTTGTTCTTGGTGGGGAGCAAATGACTGCAAGACTACATAGGTTTGAAGAAGGTGACAAGTTTAGGAAATACAAAGGTGGTTTGTTGTTAGGGCCTAATTCTCCACCTTACAATCCTATGAAGCCTAAAATGATCATCTCAAAAGCTATCGAAATCGAGCATGCTGAGAAGGAACGTAAGAGGGCTATTCAATCAGGTGACACTGATTTGTCTAGCCTTGATGACAAGATTCAAATGTTGAAGCAAGAGCTAGACGAGTTGATGGGAGGAGAAAATGAAAACGAACACGAAAATGAAGCAAGTGATCATAATAGTAGTAGTAATGAAGTTGAGGAATATGGTATGAAGGCTTTTACTAAAGATCTTAGGAAAAAGTTTAAGGGCTTGGATGATATTTGGGTATGGCATGCTCTTTGTGGCGCTTGGGGCGGTGTTCGGCCTGAAACAACACATCTTAATGCAAGTGTAATACCTTGTAAATTGTCACCTGGTTTGGCTGGAACAATGGATGATCTTGCTGTTGATAAAATTGTTGAAGGTGGAATTGGACTTGTTCATCCTGATCAAGCTGCTGAATTATATGATTCTATGCATTCCTACCTTGCTAGTGTTGGAATTACTGGTGTTAAAGTTGATGTTATTCAGGTAAGTTTTTTTTACATATTGTATTTTTCTCTAAACTTTTTGTAACATATACTTATATCTCCGTTTTACAATGTTCTTAACATTTCACTTTTTAACGTGTGTTAATTTGCTTTGATATATTTGTAGACACTTGAATATGTATCTGAGCAATTTGGAGGTAGAGTAGAGCTTGCAAAGAAATATTATGATGGATTGTCCAAATCTTTGGAGAAGAACTTCAATGGCACTAACCTTTCATCTAGCATGGAGCAATGCAATGACTTCCTATTGCTTGGAACCAAACAAATATCCATGGGAAGAGTCGGTATGAACATGGCTTCGTCTTTTCATCTAATTAAATTGCCTTACCTAATCTCATATGAACTTATTATTATAATTTATTTGAACTTATTAACGCTTATCTTTAAAAAATTATGTTTCTTGAAACATATCCTAGTGATTCTAAAATTTGTACTAACTTGGTTGATCTTAATGATGTATGATGTTGAAAACATCGAAAATAGGTGATGATTTTTGGTTCCAAGATCCAAATGGAGACCCAAATGGGGTGTTTTGGCTACAAGGTGTACATATGATCCATTGCTCGTATAACAGCTTATGGATGGGTCAGATATTCCACCCTGATTGGGACATGTTTCAAAGTGATCACGTCTGTGCTAAGTTTCATGCTGGCTCTCGCGCCATCTGTGGTGGACCGATCTATGTTAGCGACTCACTAGGAGGTCATGACTTTGATCTCCTTAAGAAGTTGGTTCATCCTGATGGAACCATCCCCAAATGTCAAAACTTTGCTCTGCCAACTAGGGATGTTCTGTTCAAGAACCCTCTCTTTGATCAAGAATCTATTCTTAAGATTTGGAACTTCAACAAGGTATAACATTTTTTTTTTCATAATTGGGTAATCTGAGGTATACTGTTGTACTGTTTAATAATTAGGTATGAGTCCGTTTTATCAGGTCTAGTCATATAAAATCTTATCAGTTTCATATTAAAGGTTACTTAATTTTTTGTACTACTAAGTATTAACCTAAAGATTTTGGGCTAATTCGGGTGTAATTTCTATGAAGTATGGAGCTGTAATTGGAGCATTTAACTGCCAAGGAGCAGGGTGGGACAGGCAGGAAAGAAGGATAAAGGGGTACAAGGAATGTTACAAAACTATGGAAGGTGCAATACATGTGAAGGACATAGAATGGGACCAAACATTGGAAGGTCTAGAAATGGGTTTTGCTGAAGAGTATGTTGTGTACCTTAACCAAGAAGACTCACTCCACTTGGTGACACTCGAATCTGACCCAATCCATGTCGTGCTAGACCCATCATCTTTCGAAATTTTCAGCTTTGTCCCGGTCAAGGTGCTAGGACAAGATGTCAAATTCGCGCCAATTGGTCTAACCAACATGTTCAATAGTGGAGGTACGATCCAAGAACTCGAGTTCATGGACTCGAGTGCTAGGATGAAGATCAAAGGAGAAGGGTGTTTGTTGGCCTATTCAAATGAGGAACCAAAGAAGTGCATTGTGAATGGTGAAGAAGTGGCATTTGAATGGTCTAATGATCAAAACAAGTTGGTGTTTGATTTGTCATGGATTGAAGAGGCTGATGGTGTTTCTGAAGTCATTGTTCAATATTGATGAAAAATTGTATTAATAATAATTCTTTATGTTTTGGTTCTTTTTAGTTTTTGTAATTTGGTTTTGTTCATATTTCATGAGTGAAGATTGTAACGAAAAAAAATATATATGAAAAGGGAATATTTATTGTATTATATATTTTTGACATTGCATAAACTTTTAATTACCTATTGATTGATCTAAATTTCAAGTTTTGATTTTAGTTTGAAACTTAACATCCGATTTCAGTTTGTATCACTCCAAACTCATAAATGTCAATATAAAAAAACTGCGAGTATTACAAGTAAATCTTTCAGGCCAAAGTATTTTCCTCGTGATGCTTGAATCTCCAAATGGATACAAATATCAATATTCATCAAATAATAGTCTTAACTAGTTGTAGAACTTGCAATGAAAATGTCGATTATCGTAGTCTTAGATGTTAAATTGTGCTATACTTCCTATGTCCGAAATTAAGTGTCAGGTCACGTCAATAATGTAATTTGAACTAGTAATGTGACACTGTCATAAAATGTAAATTTGTGATCCAAATTACTTCCGAAAAGATATTAGTTTAATAGTTCTTGCCAAAAAAATACTTGCTTGTATGTTCCGAGAGGATCTTTAGCTAGAATGTTCAAGGACCAACAATCTTTTAAAATATAAAAAACTAAGCACTCAAAGAGTCAAAGCCTTAACTTTAGGATGTCATTGAACCATACTGCAATTAATGTATAATGTCTTTGTGCTAAAGGAAGATCCATGATAGAAAGAGCATATAGAAATGTAGAATGGAGGGTCCTATGTTAACAGATGAAGACTCTAGAGAATGCTAGCTTACAACCATTAGCCGTTTCCCATGATCTTTTGAGCCAACAACTTTGATAAAAGTATGGTTATAAACTATTTACAAGTGCTATAGTATTATTATATATGCAAGATTAGAATATTAACTATTTACAAGTGCTATAGTATTATTATATATTTACAAGATGTAGCATCATGAGACCTCAACCTCAAGTTATATTAACCGATATATCACGAAAGTTCAAAAGATTAGGATGCATGTTCAATGTTATGTTTATCTCTATTTTATGATTTAGTTATTATTTACTTCGTATATACTTAGCTTGCTCGGATTAGATTATAAAAGGTTGTTTTTTGGAACCCACTTATCCCAACCCACAACGCCATAAAGCATAATTTCAAATTCCGAATATGCTAACTGACTTACTCTCAACTTCTCATCAAGTCCATGATGATGAAAGCGATCTAAAAAACTAATAATACATATTTATACATAAGACATACCTTTCTTGCATCCTCTCTTTAAGGCTTATTAGAAGATAACATGTGGATGTGGATAAACCTTGCAACTACCATTTCAACATCTAATTAACTAAACAAGTACCCTGGATTCCTAGCTAAAAGGACTTTGGGCATAGTTGTCAAATAGTAGATCAATCCAACACATTGACTTTTAAGAAGTGGTCAATTACATGAAGAATACTTATAACGTGTTAATTTCCAATTAGCAAGCTATGGTTTCTATGAAGCTTATACTAAATTTGACATATTGTACAATTAACAAGATAATGGTCGGTTTAATATGGCCTACTACTCTTGCTAAAAGACGTGAAGAAATGAACAAAATAATATAATGGTCTTGGACCGACCATATTTATCCACAACTTCTAACTAACTTAACCGCTTCACTAGAAGCAATATCTTAACTAACTAAACCTAAAAACTTTGAAATATATTGATATTGTTATGTTTGACTCTAAAATTATCAATTAGTGTGATAGCTAGTGTCAGATTGTCAATAGTCTTTGTCCATCTATGCATGCACATTCATATTCTTCAAAGTAGTTAAATAGTTAATTAATGATCATAATGATGCAAATTACTTAAAAATATAACATAATACACCATTATATTACTTCGTACATATACAGAGTAATACAGTGACAAGTACAGAGTAATACAGTGACAAGTACAGAGTATTAGACTAATAGAACACACTTTCTTATAAACTACACTAATTAGTTTTATATTGTACGACGTACAGTTTCTTATAACAATTTAAGTTAGCCGATCCCAAGTCATTTTAGGACTGAGGCTTTGCTGTTGTTGATTCTTTAGCTTTTTAAGCCCTGTTCTTTTGAGCTGTATTGTTCTACCCTACTCTAATGAAATATGCTTTGCTCAATTGAAATCTGCTCTGCTTTGCCCGTAAACTCAAAAGAACAGGGCTTTAAGTTTATGAAAGGCCGAATCTTTGCAAGTGATCAATCCAACTATTGTTATACGAACTAATTCAAATAATTATCAGTTTATTAATATATCAGAAAGCTGGAATAGCTCAGTTGGTTAGAGCGTGTGGCTGTTAACCACAAGGTCGGAGGTTCGACCCCTCCTTCTAGCGTTATCACAATTTTTTTTTTTTTAATTTCCCCAAAAACCCTTAATTTTGGCAAATATCATCGTCTATACTACGAATATACCAGTACTAGTGTTCTCTCTCGTTCTTCTCTTTCAACCTACACTTGTTACATTCTTCAAGCTTTACTCATTTTGGAAATTCCCCTGTTACAGAACACAGATTCAGCAACTAAGAGCTATTCTCAATTACAAATTCAGCAACTAAGAGGTTAATTTTTAATCCCTATTTTTTTCGGGTTTAATTTCATTTACATATGAATAAAGTTTGTGTATTTGTTGATTATTGATAGTAGAAACCTCAGTTGTCTAAGTTAGGGTATTGGGTTTTTGGAATTGGAGATTGCATAATATAATTTCTGAATAAAAATGTCAGCTTTACTGATTTTTATTTAATTTTAATTTATTATTCTTTGTGGATATGTCTGTAATCTGTATACATTGATAGTTACAAATCACGTTGAACTAGAAATGTCATTGAGATGAATGCGTAATTTGAACTAGAAATGTGACAACTAAATCCGGATGTAATTAGTAGGGATTACTCGGTTATGTTTAATTGTTTTTTGAGATGAAAGTAAATGACAAGAATTTGAGATGATGGAAGTTTTTCTAAAATCAGTCTTGAAGTACAAATGGCATTTACGTTGGATTTTATACGAATTGCTAGTTAATTTTGCTTGATAAGTTCATTTGACCTTTAGGCTTTATTTAGAATGTCTTCTTAGAGTAAAGATATTGAACTTGTTTAGCTAATCTACTCTTTCTGGTGTTGAGGTTGTTAGGTTGTATGCAGTGCTATTTGCAGGCTTGTCCAGATGATAAACACATCACTCTTGTCACACAATGTAAGCATTATTTGTTATTGAGTTCCCATATTGTGCTTATTGTGCAGTCAGTGGTCTTGAAAAAGATATTGTGTACATAAATGAATCGGTATTCTGGAGAAGGATATTGTGTACATAACTGAAGTGTTTTGATCAATTTTTAATACAATTTGTGCTTTTGTTTGGTTTTTAAGGAACTAGATTGTTTTCCATTCAATATTATGTTATCAATTGCCAGATTGCCCTATACTGTATTTTGTATTAAAGTAGACAATTATACTACACGTCTGTCTTCTGGAACCTTAGTATTGTCTAATGACTGTTCAAAGATGTGGAATCTAGAGGAACATGTAACTTACATTATTTGTTACTCCTGTGTCAAAGTGTTGTAGTTTTCGTGAAAGTTAAAGAAATCATCTTAGCATTTCAAAACTAATAATTAGACAGTGTTCATAAAGTAATTTATTTGGCAGGCCAGCTGAGAAAACCTTTGAAGTCTTGAACTTGTGTTCTATTTCTTGTGCATTTTATTTGAAGTCAATGGCTTATGATCACTGCTGCTTCATATGTGGTAAAACATGTCAATGCTTGTCTAAAATCTGTCAAAGATGCATGTTCTTAATCATTGAGACCTACCCATCCAGCATCTTATTTTGATCTTGAAATTCTTGTCCTCGTTGTGTTTCAAATTTTTTTTGCTAACAAAACTTATGATCTTTGTTCTATTTAGGCATCAATTTTGCCTATTCCAAGGATTAAAAGGTTTAACAATATAAATGTCAAAGCAGTAAAGATGGAACTGACTCTGACACGCCCTGATGATTGGCATCTTCATCTCCGTGATGGAGATCTTCTTGCCGCGGTTGCTCCATATAGGTAAGGCTTAAGACAAACATATGGTTTTTCTTTTTTTTTTTTTTTTTTTTTTTTTTGTATGTATTGTACTTCTGAGGATTTTTGTAAAGTGTGCTGTATCCTTTTGTAATTCAGTGCAAAAAATTTTGGAAGGGCAATTGTTATGCCTAATCTAAGGCCTCCTATTACCACTACAGTTGCTGCTGTTGCATATCGAGAGTCTATTATGGATGTACTTCCTGCTGATAGCAACTTCAATCCTCTCATGACACTCTATTTAACTGATAAAACCAGCCCTAACGAGATAAAGCTTGCCAGTAAGTTCCGAAATTTACTTTGAGCTTTAAAATGTTGTTCAAATTGCAACTTCCTAAATCCTATAGCTAATTGTGATTTGTAATCAGTGTAGTGCAAAAGAAACTTATGTCAGAATATGCCTGTGTGTGTACTTGCTTTACTTCTTCTTTTCTTTTTCTTTCTTTCTTTTTTTTTTTTTTTTTTTTTTTTTTTGGTGGGTGGGTGGGTGGGTGGGGGACCTGGGGAGGAATGGAAGAGAAAAACCAGCTATGAATTTAATCCCAGTCTTTTAGCAGAGTCTTTTTCTAGTTTGGCATAAATGTTTTTCCCTCCACATATAGTTCTCCTCACTGTCCATACCAAGTCTGATGCTGCAGGCACTGCCCAGACATGGCACCAAGGCCTAGGCACTGCTGCTACTTCCCAAGCCAAGGCATGCCAAGGCATGAGGGCTGCTGCCCAAGTCATGGCAAGCCATGGCCTAAGCAAGGGCAATGACACTCCTATTTCTGGCAATTGAGGGTAGAGTTTGGCTTGCCTTAGGCCAAAGGCAAGACTATGCAAGGCCAAGGGCAAGGCAAGCAACACAAAGCCAAATCAAGGAAACACAAGGCATCTTAAGACATGATATTGATTAACGAGGGGTGGGCCAAGGCACGAAGAAATGGTTCCGGGCACCAAGTAGACCTCGTAAGGCCCTTTGTAACCCTAAGAAGTGACTTGATGCATAACCTTGTTGAATGCATAATAATTCTTAGGTGGCTAAATTTAAAGGATATAATACTGAAAAATGGCTCAGAGATTGTGGAACCTAGTGTCGTAAACACAATTAATGGTAGGGGAGGCATATGGGGGCATGTTATGTTATTTGGAACCATATAAAGCCACTAATCGGTCACATAAAGGCACGTATGTGGTTACCTTATTTTAATGAAGGGAGGCGTGTACGTTATTAGCTAAATTAATAATTTAAAAGCAAAGTGGATGGTTCCAAGCATTCATATGGTCTCTTAGGGTATCGTAGGGTTTATGGGAAGCACCCCAACCTCTTTCCAACTTAGGTCCAAAAATGTTGAAAATTGTCCAAAAATGAAAGGCTATAATCCATGCTTTTGGATCAATTTTGATAAATTTTTCCAAAATTAAACAGAATGTGTGGGGTGTTCCCTGAGGTTGTAAAAGTTGGTTTGAAACCATAAAATCCTACTAATAGGTCTTTAAAGTCCTTAAAAAGAATTTGCTCCAACTATATGGCTATTTTGAAATTTTGTTGTGTTGGTAATGGTTCCAATCACCAATATGATATTTTGAGGGTCTGGTGAGTTGTCAAGGAATATTCATTAGGTTTGGCATAATATGTTTTTCCCTTGTTGTTAAGTATCTTCGTCATAACCTTGCACATGTGCTCCCACCTAAGACCTAAGCGACTAGGTGCAGCTTCCACGTTAAGACATGGGGGCTAGGGCGTTGCTACAAGTCAAGGCATGCCATGGATTAAGCAAGGGGTACGAGCATGACGACAAGGCATAAAAATACCTAATTCTTAAAAAAAAAACCACCATTTTGTAGCACTTAAGGTAGTGTCTATATTTGCCTTAGGGGGCGAAGGCCAAACCTACAAGACAAGACATCTTAAGACATGATGATGAGGGGTGGACCAATATATAATGAGATTGTTCCACGCACCAAATGGGCCTCTTGAGGCTATTTGGCATCTAATAAGATTGTTGGGTCGAAAGATGCTATTTGCAGCAAAACGGGAAATGTTTAAGGATTTCAGGTTTCCTCAAAAACTGAAGTGATGGTATGGGAGAGTAGGAGACATCTGAGGTTATATAATGTTGTTTGAAACCATATGCAACCACTATTTGGTCACATAAAGACTCGTGGTGACCTTGAGTTAATGTAGGGAAGCATGTAGGCCTAATTTGCAATTCAAAGGCAAAGTGGATGGTTCCACCCACCCAAATGGCCTCTTGAAGTCTCGTGGGGTATGTGGAAAGCAACTAGACCTCTTTCCTTTCAGATAAGTTGAAAATTGTCCAAAACTAAGGGTATAAGACGTGAATTTGTTGTCCCCCAAAGTCATAAAAGCTGGTTTTGAAACCGTTAGAGTCTATTTATATGTTTATAGTCCCGAAAAAAAGTTTGCTTCTATTATACAGCTATTTTGAAATTTTGAGAAACACTGGCTACGAATTTGATCCAAGTCTTTTAGCAGAGTCTTTTTCTAGTTTGGCATAAATGTCCCCCCCCCCCACATATATTTCTCCTTAGTGCCCATGCCAGGTCTGATGCTGTAGTCACTACCAGCCAAGGCACCAAGGCCTAGGCGCTGCTACTTTCCAAGCCAAGGCACGCCAAGGCCATGAGCGTTTCATCCGAAGTCATGGCACGCCATAGCCTTAGCAAGGTCAATGACACTCCTATTAGTGGCAGTTGAGGGTAGCGTCTTGGCTTGCCTTAGGTGAAAGGCGAGACTACACAAGGCCAAGGGTAAGGCAAGCAACACAAACCCAATCATGGCAACACAAGGCATCTTAAGACAGTTATATCAATTAACGAGGGGTAGGCCAAGAGATGAAGAGATGGTTCCGGGCACCAGTAGACCTTGTAAGGCCCGTTGGAACCCAAGAAGTGACTGGATGCATAACCTTGTTGAATGCATTATTATTCTTAGGTGGCCAAGTTTAAAGGATGGATATAATACTGAAAAATAGATTAGAGATTATGGAACCTAGGGTTGAAAACACAATTAATGGTAGGGGAGGCATCTGGGTTCATGTTATGTTATTTGGAACCATATAAAGCCACTAATTGGTCACATAAAGGCACGTTTGTGGTTACCTTAAGTTAATTAAGAGAGGTGTGTACGTTATTAGCTAAATTAAGAGTTTAAATGCAAAGTGGATGGTTGCAAGCATTCTTTTGGCCTTTCGGGGTGTCGTGGGGTGTATGGGAAGCATCCCAACCTTTTTCTAACTTGGGTCCAAAAAAGATTAAAATTGTCCAAAAATGAAGGCTATAATCCATGCTTTTGGACCAATTTTTAGATATTTTCCAAAATTAAACATAATGCACGGGGTGTTCCCTAAGGTTGTAAAAGTTGGTTTGAAACCATAAAAATCCTACTAACAGGCCTTTAAAGTCCCTAAAAAGAATTTGCTCTAATTATATGGCTATTTTAAAATTTTGTTGTGTTTGTAGTCAAAACTTGTAAGAAATGGTTCCAATCACCAACATGATATCTTGAGGGTCCTGGTGAGTTGTCAGGAATTATTCATTTGGTTAACAAACCCAATGTCACCCATTCATTACTTATTATTACGTTGATGATTTAATTAAAGATGTGTTTTTTTTTTTCCTTTCTTTTTTTGCATAGCCTTATTCTAGTTTGGCATAATATGTTTTTTTACTTAAGTATCTTCGTTGTTGACTTGTACATGTGCTACCACCCAAGAACTAAGCGAGTAGGCGTAGCTGCCACGCTAAGGCATGGGGGCTAGGGTGTTGCTAATAGTCAAGGCATATCATGGCTTAAGCAAGGGGTACCAGCATAACGACAAGGCATATAGTTACCTAATCCTTAAAAATACCACCATTTTGTAGCACTTAAAGATAGTGTCTAGGTTTGCCTTAGGGCAAAGGCCAAACCAAGGCAAGACAAGAAATCTTAAGACATAATGACGAGGGGTTAGGGGTGAACCAATACAAAATGAGATTGGTTTGCGCATCAAGTGGGCCTCTTGAGGCTCTTTGGCATCCTGATGCATAAACTTGTTGGGTCGAAAGATACAATTTGGAGCAATGCCAGAAAACACGAAATGTTTAGGGTTTTCAGGTTTCCTCAAAAATTAAAGTGATGTTATGGGAGAGTAGAAGATAGGGGTGAAAGTTCGGTGTTCGGTTTGGATTATGGCCCAAACCGAAGCGAAACCGAAATAATTCGGTTTTACATTTTTCAATCCAAATCCACACCGAATTTTAATTCGGTCCAAACCAAACCGAACCGAATTTCTGATTAGCAAACCGAAACCGATCCATAAACCGAATTTTTTACCAGATGCAAATTGAAGTATAAGAAAACTAAGCAATCTTTATAATTATAAACATAAAATTACACAAACTAAACTGAGAATTAATTACATACAATCAACCATTATAAATTTGTCCACCGATTAAAAAAGAAACTAAATAAATAAATCAGATCTTCTGCTTCATGCATTCCTTCAATAATTTGGCTCAAAACCTCAGATCTATTCATTTCCTAATATAATTTCCTTTGAGTTATAAAAAAAATTAAATAGAAAAATAAAATCTTCTGCTTCTGCACCTCTTTACTAATATCATTTCCTTTGAGTGACTGACCAGAGAGGTGGTGGTGAGGAGACGTGGTGGTGGTCGGCGGTGAAGTGGTGGTGATATGAGGGAAAACGAATAATGAAACACGAGCGGCCAGCGAACAACTTTGAGATACGTTGAGAGCACAAACACCGAAACAAGAACTGGTGGTGAGATACCTTAAGTGGACTTCTAGAGTGGTCGGCGGTGAAGTGGTGGTGATATGAGGGAAAACGAACAATGAAACACGAGCGGCCAGCGAACAACTTTGAGATACGTTGAGAGCACAAACACCGAAACAAGAACTGGTGGTGAGATACCTTAAGTGGACTTCTAGAGTGGTGGTGGACGGACAGATTGAGGTGGTGAGGGAGAAAAGTGGGGAAATCTAGGGATTTGGTGAGGAAGGTGCCGAGAGAAAGTGAAAGGGAAATGGGAAAAGAGGGGAACAGTTTAGGGTTTTGGATTTACATATGTAGGAAAATGGGCTGGGATTAGTGGGCTTAATAAACTTCGGTTTGGTTTTCGGTTTTTCGAATCCCAAAACCGAATCCAAACCGATATATTTCGATTTCCATTTTTTCAAACCGATCCAAACCGAAAACCGAAAAAAACCGAACCGAATTGCTTATTCGGTTTGGTTTGGTTCGGTTTTCGGTTTTTATCCAATTTACTTTCA